TACATTTGGGGGGGGGTTGCATTGTAACTCCTAATTATGCTGACGCTGGTGGATCAATAGGAGCTGGGATTCCTGTGTGTGTGGGATTCCTGGATAACTTCCGTTGGGGGTCGCGTCTTAGGATGTAGTCCCCCTTAAGTAGATAGCATATGGGGTATATGGGGATCTTATTATAATGTACCCAAAGCCATATTCTATCTACTTAAGGGGACTATAAGGTTTGTTGGAGCGATACCGTGTACATGTGTTCTCTGCTGCAGAGACGCGGGATATCTCTGCCACCAGACAGGACTCTGACTACAAACCATAACTATGCCAAGCCAAGTTGTTGGATCGAGGATCAGGTTCACAGCAATCATTCCCCGATCCCAAGCAATACCTTCCCTTAGGGATCAACATTGCTCAACGTCGGAAGTTGCAGACGAGCCGAAGGCGAAGGAGCCAAGCTCAGCCTCAACGGCACTCCGTTCTTTGTTCAAAAAGATGTCGACTGGGGTGACCCGGACGAGGAGGTACCGGGGTTTGCCGAGGATGTGGAGCGCTTTGAGGCAGCTGCATCCGGTACAGATCCTGCCGTCAAGGAGGAGTACACCGCAGAGGCTGTCGACGTGGACAGCGTGGCGCTGTCTATGTTGAAGAGGGCCATTAGTGGCACTCCGGCCAAAAGACTCGTGGCGTCGATAGTCCGAGCAGCAAGCAAGGAGGTCATATTTACAGACATTAGGGCCCAAATGTGGGTAGTATTTATACGCTTGGATCCGTAGGTTCTTTAGCGAACCCCAAGGTCGGCCACTGGCAGCCAACCCTGTGGTGTGTATATATTCTCGTATCACCCATGTAGGCAGTTGTCCAACCCGTTGAACCCTCTGTTCAATGGCAAGCCCTAGACCCTAAACCCCAAGTCATTAATGTAATCCCCTGATCAGAGGTCCCTTAATCCATTCGAGCAGCGGTAACCGAAGAAGTACGAGTATCTGTAGTACAACTAGTAGCTGTAGTAGCAGCCGTAGCAATAGCAATGGCAGTGTTTAGACCTAGCAAGAGTACAAGTAATGTTATCTGCACTACTATGTTTTGAGGTGGGCCCTGAAGGCTCTGATCCTGAAAGCCTAAACCCTAAACCCCAACCCTAAACCCTAAGCCCTAAAGTATGTCACCTGCCTTTGTTGCTGCCAGGAAGTCCTGAGCTCGTGGCGGCAAAAGCAGTCAATTTGGAAGGCGGGAGCAGGGAGTAGCAAGAGGGTTTAGGATTTTAGGGTTTTAGCGTTTTGCTGAAGGGTTTACCTGGAGGCCCATGGGATTTAGTAATCACTTATAACTAACCCGACTTAAATCCCCCTGAAAGGGCTAATAGGGGTTCCTCCAATTACAAGTAGCGTTCTAATCCCAGTTTTAGGTAGTTACTAAGTCCCATGGGCCTCCAAGCAGAGTGTAGGGTTTAGGGTAAAGGGTGTAGCGTCAAGAGGGTTTTGGTGTATGCATATATATATATACACACTAAGCAGTATTTCAGATTATGGCTTGTGGCATCCCACGAACATGATCGTTTGGGGGTCCAGATTTAGGGTTTTAGTCAGGGTTTAGGGCTTAGGGACAGTTTAAGGTCAGCGGGAGTGGGTGGGTGGAAGATAGGTACTCTTAGAGGTGTGTGTGTGTATATACATGTTTGTAGCGGCATTACCTACGAAAAGTTCAGGGATCCACTCGCCAGCAGTAGCTTGAGCACCAAGAAGTCATTGTAGGTGCGTAGACTGAGCAACACCTCACATGTTCCTGACACGCAGTAAATAGTTCCTGCAGCATCAAGCTTGCTCATCCGTCCCTCTGCCCCAAATCGCGAACCCTTAATTCCTAAACCCCTAATCTCTAAACCCGAAACTCCAAACCATAGACCTCCAAAAGCCAACAAGCCTCAAACCTGCGAAACATAGTGCAGCGTGAGCGTTAGGGTTGAGGGCCTGACAAACCGTGGACGGAGGAAAGCTTGGCCAACTTGTTCGTTGTTGAAAAGCGGCCCTACGGAACTTCGGGATATGTAGGGATCAAAAGAGGATTGTGGGGCCCTTATTTGGGATTAGCTTTATTTATAAGAGGGTTATGTTGAGGAATTTTCATTTAGGGCTCCCACACTTTAGCAATTCCTGGGATTCAGGGTGTATGACTCTATGACATGGTGCAAGATATCTGCCATCCACAGAAGAATACAACCAGGGTATACGATTTGGTAATTGCTCAGGGGTTTTTAGCTTAATTACCGTTCCGGATAGTAAACCCTAAACCCTAAACCCCTGCACCCTAAAGCCTAACCCCTAACCCCTAAAGCCCTACACCCTAAATCCCAACCTCTAAACCCTACACCCTAAAACCCTAAAAACCGCCAGGTGAAAAGAGTGCTGCCAAAAAAAGAAACCTCAAAACCTTATACGCTAAACTGAACTACCAGACCAGAGCCGGAGGCTTTAGTTATGCAATCAAGCTTACCATGTGAGTAGTATTTGATTTGGGTATACGATGGTACGCAATATAGAGTAAGATTATATCTTGCTTTGGGGGTATAGTATTTTGTATAAGGAATATTATCTTGCCAGGTTCAACCACCCAAAAAACCGCTACTCACATGAGCAAGATTCTAAACCCCAGAGGGGTTATATAGGGGTTTAGGGTTTAATTCGGGTTTGGGCTTAGCGGGTCATGTATGGGAGTATAATATATGGGAGTTTAATCGGGGTTATTAAGGGGGATAGGAGGAGTTTTGACTAAAGATCATATCAGGAAGACAACGCACTACATGGGATAGGAGTCTGCATTTGCAATGTGCAATACTTTCGCGCCAAGAAGCAGCTCAATGGGATTACATACAGACTTTTGCATAAGCAGACAGCCGAACGATGTCATAAAAGGAAAGGCCACCGTAAGGCGGTAGACCACCAGGCCCACACCAAAACTAAAATCAGTGTGGAGGTCTACTTGGAGGGTCATGGGGACTTAGTAAGTAGGTTAATAATGGGGATAATTGGAGTTATTATATGGCTTACAGGGGTTAGTAGCCTACTTACTAAGTCCGCATGACCCTCCGAGTAAGCTGTGTGAGGTACGGTTGTATTACAGGTGAATTGGCTCAAGTTTGCGGTTCGTAGCCCCAAGTAAGTCAAAGGGTTCAGGGCTTGGGGAGATATGATCCCAATGAAGGACAAGCAACTGGACAAGCACGCTGAAAATTCAATGGCAACCTGGTTTCTACAGAAGTCTGAAGGGATTAGATTAGATCAAGTAGGGCGCTTAGGATGGATTTTAGTGAGCGTCTAGAGCAGCATTGGTCAGCGTGTGTGTGTGTATATATATATATATGTGGGTTTAGGGTTTAGGGTTTAGGGTTACATATGAGCTGAAGCTTCAAGCCTCTAACAATCATGTACGTTCCTTATGAACCTCAAGCCCCTCAACTCTAAACCCTAAAACTGCTCCCAAAGGCGGGTGGCAACAAGAAGGACAAGGCCATAGGATGTGTCTCACACGCCGGGGTTTAGGGTTTAGGGATTAGACCCTACTCATGTGGGTGGTTGTCGAAATTATGGTCCCTTTTTGGGTCCCTATTATTATACGGCCCCTAATATTTAGGGTACCCAAAAAGGGACCATAATTTTGACAACCACCCGTGTAGTCTCCTTTAGGAATCATGTTGCCGTTTTATCATAGCTTATCCCACAGGAAATATGGGTCTAGGGGTGCTACAGGTAGTATCATAGCCATTACAAAGATCATAAGTTCCAAGTACCCTAAACCCTAAACCCTTCATTAGGGGATATATGGCCCCGACTTGGACTCTCTGAAAGGGTGATGGCTTAGGACGCAGGGGGTAAGCTGCCGTAAGGGCTTAGGGTTTAGGATCTAAATTCCTTAAACAGGCTATATAGGGTATAGGGGTTATTAAGAGGGACACTTGGAGATTAGGCCCCAAATCCTGCACGCTAAACCCTATAGGGGTTATTCAGGGGGATGCTAGGCGTTTAGACTACAGCTCAGGTAAGCGTTACTCATGGGCTTCTGGGCTTCTGAGGTCTATCTTCGGGGCTTAACCCGAGCTTAGGGTCTGGTAGGGTCTAGATATTACAGGGGGTTTAGGGTCTAGGGTTGCAGGGATGAAGGTTTAGGATCTTTGGGTTTAAGGATTGGGGTTTACCCAGACATTCCCCCAACTCTTTAGCGTAAAGCACCCTTGCGCGCAATCCCAGTGTCTAAGGAGTTTTTAGGTGGGTAGCTTCCCCCATATTAGCTCTACATAGCTCTCATATAGTTCTAGTGCCCCCATATAAGCCCTATATAAGCCTAATGTAAGGGTACCCACCTCATAACTACCTTAATTAACTCCTTGGGACGTCGCTTGGACCTTAGACCCTTACTTAACCCTTTGGGATTCCCTCATACTCCTATTATAGGTACCTGAGGGTTAACCCTTGGTAGGGGTCCTAAGTGCCACGTAGTTACCCTATACCCTAAACCCTACCTAAGCCCCAAAAGTATGTAAAATAATAGCCCTAAACCCATAATAATAGCCCAAAAGGCCATTATTTTGCATACTTTTGGGGTTTAGGTAGTTAACAAGGGGCCGTACACATCTTTCGCAGCAGGCCTTTTTTCTCGGAGACCTTGGTCCTCTGAAAAGGGTACCTGAAGCCCCAAAGGTATGTAGAGTATTGGCCTCTGGGCCTGCGCTTTTAGGGATGAAAGGGTTTAGGGTTTAGGGTTTAGGGATGAAAGGGTTTAGGGTTTAGGGAAAGTATGTAGAATCACGGCTTTTGGGTTGTTTCTAGGGAGTAAAGTATGTAGAATACTGGCCTCTTGGGCTGTTGTTAGGGATGTGGATTCTTATCTTACCTACTTCCGGGGCCCAGGTAGTTAAGGGCGGGAAGCACTGGGCACTGTCTTCCAACGGACGTGACCGGCAACCATTACGGGGCCAGTTATAAGCAGTTACGAAACCACATGAACTCTAAACCCTCACCCCTCGACTGTAAACCTTCAAGCCTAAACCCCAAACCCCACATCCTAAGCCCTAAACCCTTAAACCCTAAGTTATCCTAAACCCTAAATCCTAAACCCTAGACCCATGAACCTTCAAGTACAACAACAGCCGGCACAGGAAGAGCCCGAGCCTGAAGTGCCAGAGGTGCCAATCTCCGAGGCATCGGACGTAGAAAGGGAAAAGCTGGGTAAAGTATGCAGAGTAAAGGGTCTAGCGTTTGGGGATTCGGGTTTACGGTATGTAGAGTTAAAGGGGGCTTAGGGTTCTAGGGTACTACCGTGACCCGAAAAGTACGTAAAATGAGGGCCTTTATGGTTATTTTTAGAGGTTTGGGTCATGATTTTACTTACTTCTGGTGTGTATGTAAAGTAAAGGATTTAGGGTTTCGGGATGTTTCGGGCTTAGGGTTCAGGGTTTAGGGCTTAGGGTTTAGGGTTTAGGGGTTTCGGGTTCAGGGTTTATAGGGATTGAGGTTTACGGTTTGCGTACTGCCCCCCGCCCACTAACAGTCTATCAGCGGGGTAGTATTGCGGGGTATGAATGTATGTAGAGTTGTCTGAAAAATAGTATCCAGTTGTTACTGAGTGGGGGGCAGCGCGGAACAGAAACTTCTGGGGTGGATACCATAGTGTTCAGGGTTTAGGATTTAGGGTTTTGGATTGCAGCTAAGGGTGTAGGGTTCAGGACGTCTGTCATGATTAGTTAGTATTTTCATCGTGGTCCTACGTGTTAGTAGTATAACTTCTCTTGTAGCGAGGCATAGCTGGACCGTTGCGCAGGCATACGGCTTTTTCTTGAAAGGATTGTTTTGGCTTTCACGGTCAAGCTTTGAAAACACGCGCGGGCACTTGCTGCAATGTCCAGCAACTCTCAATGTGCTGCCAGTACTATTGCTCTCATCATCATTATCACTGTCCACCAATGTCCATCAAATCGCTTCCGGGGCAGATGTTGCAGAAGGGATTTCGCAAAAGGCGCGCGAAAGGCAAACATGGCCCGCAAATCCATGAAAAGCCCGGCTTCTTGTTTCAAAGAATGAGTAACTGCAGGCCTTCATGCGGAGCAGCGCCTTGCAAACCAGTATAGGCAGTTTAGCCAGCGCACGCAGGCCGAGAACATCACTGAGTTTCTAGCTTAGGTTGTAAAGTTGCGGGGTCGGTTTAGAACCGTGCTTTAAATACGTAATTGTTTAGCCCCCCTGACCATATAGGACCCCAACAGAACTTCCAAGCCTTCAGCAAATTTATCAACTACAGAACTTGTAAATAGGATTTGGATAAGTTTTGTTGCACATCTTAAGAAAATGCTGCGAGCGAACGCGCGCGAAAGGGCGGCGAAAGGGCTGCTTTTGGGAACAGGGGTTTTGGACAGCCCCCGTATGCTAGTCACAGAGTCCTTGCTTTATTAGGTGGGGTAATTATAACAATTGCCTTACTAATCAAGTCCAGACTGGTTTGGCTTGGGATTAAGGTGTTTGGGCTAGGGGCTCAGGAAAATGCCATGGAACCCTTGGTGCAGGTTGAATGTTCCAAATCCTAAGCCTTAAGCCCTAAACCTCTAAACCCTAAACAGGGTTTACGGCCTGATTGAAGATATCCGGGTTTGAGGCCCAGGGTCGAGGATTCTAGGTAACTTCATGGGCAGTATAGGAGCACGCTTCCGTCAGACGGTTCCAACATGTCCTAACACCGAAATAATCCCTCCCTGATAATAATTAATAACCCCCCCCCCCCCGATAATGAACACTGATTACTTCCCCATGTAGCACATCATATGTGATCGGAGGGGTGAGGGAGATTTGAAGGAAGAGGTGATCAGGATGTGACGTCGGCCAAGGGTTTCCATACAGAAGCGCTTAGTGTGGTTGAGGGTAGAGTCTAAGTCTACTATGGTTGGGCACTTGGATACGTAGGGGGAAAGGCCGAGACCCTAAACCGTGTCTTGGCATAATCTTGGCTAGCGGTAGTCTGGCTCCTTGGGCTTTCAACGTTTTGGGTTTCCTCCCTTCTTGTCGTCATGCCATCCCCTGTTCAAAGTTTAGAGAAGCCAGCTATACGTTTGGAAACGGGCTGAGGGCTGGTTCCTGGTTTGCACAAACCAGGCGCCGCCCACGTGGAACTCAAAGACTTGGATATCCTGTGCCCCCAGCACACTGCCCTTGCAGGGATTTTGCTTTGCAGCCGCTGCAGAATCTTGTTTGAAGATTGCGCAGATCCGCCAGCAGTTCTCAAGGCCCTCGACCTCCTTTGAAGAAGGCGATGGGTTTGTGCCTTCCGATTCGGCTGATTCAGAGGATGGGCGTGAGAGGTCCAGTTGTGGCCTTCTGGCACCCTGCGCCAAGCACACGCTTCTGAGTTGCAAGGTTGTGCATATGCTCCCAACACTCTGATCACTGCAAGTAGGCCCTCCCAAGCATTTTATGAAACCAGTAAAGTGCCTCAAGAAGAGAAGGCCACGGTCGAAGAAGTGCAGCCCACAGAGGAGAAGGACGGGCGGCTGACACATGTCAAGGGCTTAGCGTTCAGCTTATTATGTAGGCAGCTCTTGCTGAAGACTTTGTTCTAAGTAACGCAATTCGGTGCAGTACACACCAGACTCAATACAGTTGTCCTCTCCGCAAGACAGGCCAGCATGTGCGACAGCTGAATCCAACTCATTCCTGTTCATGGCTCAAAGACCCCTGGCACAGAATACGCTTTAAACACGGCGGAAACCTTGCCCAAAACCCAAAACCCTACTCAGCTTAGGGCTCAGTATGCTTACTGAATCCCCTTGACCTTCCGAGTAGGGATTGGCAATTGGGGCTTCATAGCACTTCATGGTAAACATAAGACGTTCTTGCAGGCACCTAAGCCCCAAAACCTCAACCTTTAACCTCTAAACCGTGAACCCCTAAACCCCTAAGCCCTAATCCTCCACCCCAAACACCTAAACTTTAAACCCTAAACCCTAAATCTGAAAGCCTAGACCGTGTCTTGAGCCCAAGATGGCCTCCCAATTAGCCTTTTCTTCGCATCCAAGCTATAGTCTAAACTCCTCAAGGGGGATTATATACGGGTTTAGGTTTAACTAGGGCTTAGGGAGTTGCATAAGGGATCATTTGGGGGAGAAATTATAGTGTCTATCAGGGGGACGACTAGGAGTTTAGACTATAGCTCAGGACATAGGGTCCTTTTGATAGTTCAGTTTAGGGCTCAGTGTATAGGGTTTGCTCATATGTCTCTACTGTCCTCAACAGTATCCCTGCTTTGAGAAACTCCCATGTATATAAGGTGCCTGCCAGATGTTTCCAGACTCCGGGGACCCCAAAATCAACTAAGCCCTAAACCCTAACCAACATAGACGAGCTTGGCCCGCAATTTTTAGAAATCCCCATATGGCAGTTCAACATAATACTTGAATCCTGAATAAGCAACTGAGTTAATCCCTGCATATCCCTGGCGCCCCACCCTGTTATTACCACCTCCATGTAGCCGAATTGTAGATTACAATTCCGGGTCGTGGATTTCGGGTTGCCTGCATTCTAAAGGTTTAGGGTTCAGGGTTTCGGGCTCTGAGTTTAAAAACAAAAGCTTTTCTGGGGACCCCAAACAGGGAACCCGAAGAATCTAGCAAGAATGTGATAGGAATGTATGTATGTATGATTTCGTTCTGGGGATCCTACCCCCCCCCTACACCCCCCCATGGTATGGTGGTCCGGGCACCCCCTTCTGCAGCCTCAACCTTTTACAAGTGCCAACAGTCACAGGGATGGGCCCCTTGGGGTCGCGATCCTCGTAAATGTTGTTGTTTTCGACGACTCAAAGCTGCCATCCCCGTGACTGTCGTCACTTTTAGAACATCGTCCTTTCGTCGCATCTCAAAAGTGCTAGCAGTCACAGGGATGGGGCGCTCGAGCATCACGATCCTTATAACTGTCATCATTTTTGGTCTTTTTTGGGCCTTCATGTGGTCTTGGAGTCTGAGAGTCCCAACAGTCACATACTGCCCGGGGGACTACAACTCATGGTCCAAACTGCCCACATGTGAGCACTGGCGCGTTAACCAAGAACTTGCCTCTGACAAGGCTGAAGCAGTTTATACCTGGGCCTATAGCTCTACTTAGGCTTTATCGTAAGCTTGCACTACCACAGGGGGAGAACCACCAGCACCGCATGGACCAGACCAAAGGGGGAGGGGCTGAGAGAACCGCGAGCACCACGACACCACAAAGAATGACAGTGACCACAGCGTTTTCAGACCAGCACCACAACTCCACAGGGGAAAGGGGGGACCCATACCTGGGGGGGCGGGGTGGGGGTGGGGTGGGGTGGGGGTATTATATTGTAATTTCCATTTCCTTTTCCATTATCCCTATAACCACTATATAATATGGGTTTTGCCGTTTTCTTTTCCATTATCCTATACAACCCCTACATGGTGTGCCTACCGGGCTCCTTGCAGTCCCATTATGTTCCTACTCTATTCTTGTTGTTTCCTGTTTGGGGTCCCCAGTAGAGTCCTTGAAAAGTCGAGAAATGATGATTGCCTCCGTTGGGCTCTTTTTACCTGAACCCCAAAAGTATGTGGAATAATTGCCTTTATGGTTTAGGGCCATTATTTTACAGACTTTTGGGGTTTGGGTAAGTCTACAACCAGTACCTTCGGGCTATCATGGCTTCAGGTAGGGTGGATTTGGCTTTAAACCTCGAATCCGAAACTAAAAAACAAAACTGTGTCTTCTTGCGCTTGAACAATCCCATCTAGCTGGAGCCCCGATCCCCAAATCTCGTACTTTGAATCCCAAACCTTACCTAAACCCCAAAAGCATGTAAAATAATAGCCCTAAACCCCTAAGAATAGCCATAAAAGGCCATTATTTTACATACTTTTGGGGGTCCCAAACCCTAAACCCTCAACCCAATATAACCCCTAAACCTAGTAGTTTTCCATTTTCTTTTCCATTATGTTACATACTTTGGGGTCCAGGTAGAGCCTAAACCCTAAACCCTAAAACCCTAAACCCTAAACCCCAGAGCCTAAAACCCCGCTACACATGGAGGACGAGCCGATGACGACCGGGGTGGCTGACGAGGACGAGCCATGGTTGAAAGACCGTTTAAGGTTTACCTGGACCCCAAAATCCTAATCAGGGGTACCCTTTTTGGGGGTCCTCATAATAAGGACTATAGTATTTTGGGGTCTATATTGGGGTCCCCTTATTTTGGGAAACTACCAAGGGTTTAAGGTTTACCTGGACCCCAAAAGTATGTAAAATCATGGAAAAGAAAATGGAAACTACTAGGTTTAGGGGTTATATTGGGTTTTGGGTTTAGGGTTCAGGACCCCAAAAGTATGTAACAAAAATGGCCCTTTGGGCTGTTCTCAGGGGTTTTGGGCCATTATTTTATACATGTTTGGTGGTTTAGGTAGGGTTTATGGTTGAGGGCTTACCCCGAACCCCAAAGGTAGGTAAAGTAGTAGCCCAAACCACCCAAGAAGAACCCAAAGGCCATTATTCTACATATTCTTGGGGTTCAGTTAAGGCTTAAGGCTTAGGGTTTAGGGGTGTGAGGTTGAGTAGGGGTAATTTATAGAGGCAAACCAACCCTCCAACCCCCGAGCCCCTACCTGGAACAGCCTTTAGCTTTCAGGTGCGGCTTGCTGGCTTGGAGTTAAGATCCCTAAAGCCTTAGGGTTTAGGATCTGGGGTTTAGGGTGTAGGGTTCAGGGTTTGGGGTTTAGGCTTAGGGTCTAGGACTTAGGGTTCAGGGTTTAGGGGTGACTTGGCTCTAAGAAAAAAACATCCTAAACCCCAGAACTTGGACACTGAGAAAGAATCCCAACCCAGAAGCCTAACCCTAGAACCTGGACCCTGAGAAGAACCCGCTCAAAGCCCAGAAGCCTAAAGCATGTAGAATAATGGCCTTTTGGGCATGTTTTTAGGGAGTTTGGGCGATTAGTTTACATACTTTCGGGGGTCCAGGTGGAAGCCCAAACCTAAATCCAACCATTAACCATATTCCCTTTGGACCTTTAGGCTACGGTGGAGGACGCCTAAACCCTAAACCCTATGGATTCCCATATTATTCTTGGACACGAAGGTTGTCCAAGCTGCTACAATCCCCCAAACCTAGCCGAAGAAGCCCTAAACCCTAACGTTGCATTCACTTTTGTGTAGAGACCTTCTTTAATGTGTTTTCGCCGCCGCCTATTCAGGATCTGGCCATTGTTGGGAGGGTCCTGTCTGATGTGTTTTGCTTTTGGGACCCTAAAAATACGGGACCGAATCCAGACCATCCCTTTTCAAAATAGTCTCCAAGGCCTCCCAGGGCCCTCAGTACCGTGCGACCGTTATTCATGATTTTTTTTCTTTTCGGGGGGAAGGGGGGGGGGGTGGCTATTGTTAAGGGGGCGACCCCTAAGATGAAAGCGAGTCCAACATTCATTACATTATTCTGAGTTATGCACCCTACCCTACAGTGAAATTCGAGACATGTGCTGGATGTTTTTGGAAGATTTAGACGCCTTTCAGAGCATATACACATTACCCTATAAACCCAAACCGCGAACTGGAAACCCTAAACTCTAGCCGCGGCGCCAACGCACGCGGAGCAAGTAGCAAAACAGCCCCTCTCTAATCATGCGCATAGACAGATTTTGGGAGGACCTAGACGTCTTTGGCGTAGCAGATGTCCTGGATGTGGGCAACGGCGAGCCGCTCCATCCTCAGTGTTTTGAAAGGTACAACCGTGTGATTTTTTTTTGTGTGTGTGTGTGTGTGTGGCGTCTTAAGGTTTAGGGTTTGCTGCATTGATTGCAGGCTGAGATCGGGAATCTTGAAATGCTTTGCACCGCATGCATTTCGTGCTGATGGGAAGGAGATCTTCAGTTCAAAGGCCTTTGAGTCAAAATAATAGGCTCCCGCAACTCTGCAAGTAGCCAGCAAAACAGCAAGCTTTTGCAATGGCAGGGCTGGAGTACGCACCTGAAGCTCAGCGAAAATTCAGAGACCACGTATGGCTGGGACATGACCCTCCCAACATTTGGCGTGCTTTGCATCTGTACTTTGACGAGACCCCAGCTTTCATTTGCAAGAAGACAACGACGACCTTGTGGGCTTCTTTAACTCCGTACCTCGCCAGATGATCCTTGATTCGCTGGATATTTTGGTCCGGCAGTATGAGGAAAGCACAGTGCTAAAAGCACACCTTCTGCAGAGAGAGCCCTTCCTCACAAGCCTCGAGGAGGACGAACAAAACTGTTCAGCTGCGGCATTTGAGTCTCTTTGTGCGCCTGTCTTTTGAAACAGGGTGCTTTGTTGCAAGCCATCGGTGCTTTCGGCAGATCCGTGGCACGTCCATGCATTGGCAACCAGATTTCCTCAGTGCTCTCCGGTGTGCCAGTGATACTGCATGAGACAGTGTGGCAGAAGTCCGAAAATGGTCCTAAACCCTACACCCTAGACATCCCCAAAAGTACTTGACTTCGGTAGGCAGGAGTCCGACCTTCTGAAGGCCCATATCAGGATTGACTGGGTTAATCCGTTCATGGGCAGAATCAACCCTAAACCCCAAACCCTAAACCTCAAACCCTAAACCTACGTTTGTAGGGTTTAGGGTTTAGGCTTGTAGGAGTGACGCATTCCTCCAAAATGTAAACTGCTTACAGGGGGTTATGTAGGGGACGATTTTAAGGGTTGTTAAGGGGTATACTGGGAGGTTAGACTATGGCTCATATAGAGCTTATTATGGAGACGTACTGCTCCTACACCCTAAACTGCAAATCATGGGAGTCTTTAGGGTTCATTATTGAGATCCACTCCCCCACTCCAAACCGTACTGGAAGGTTCATGGGACTGAGCAACTAGATATTCATCGCTGGACGTATAACCCTACTCACAAGCCCCCTACCCGACTGATGTAGGTTACCCCAAGTATAAGTAGGGTTAGACGCCCAGTTATAAGTAGTTCCTGGGTCCAATGAACCTCCAAATAGAGGTACAAGCTGTTGGGATTTGGAACTTAGGGTTGAAGGGGTGTAGGGGCGCGGGCGTTTTTTATGGTGCTATGAGGGTATTAAAGGCATCTCAATACTTTCCAGTATTTCGGTCCTAGAATCTATAGGTTACCTCAATCAGACCTCAAAATGGTATCGCCATTTTGGCCCCTGTATTAGACTCCCATGTAGGGCTCCAGCCCGGAAAGCAAAAGAACACGTTAGGGTTTTCAAGGCCTTAAACCCTAAGCCTTAAAACCACTGACCCTAAACACTAGACCCTGGACCCTACCACTAACCTTCGACCCTACTTGGAGGGTTATGGGGACTTAGTAAGTAGGTCAATAACCCCTATAAGCCATATAATAACCCCAGTTATCCCCATTATCAACCTACTTACTAAGTCCCCATGACCCTCCAAGTAAAACCCA